GAAACACAAACAGGGGGAGTTGGGGAGAAGAGGCAGTATACAGCTGGCTTAACTGCCTCCTTGCCTGGGATGCCTAAGCCTTTCTTCACAGCAAGGGGAGCCCCTAGAGGCGATGCTTATTGCTGATGCTAAACCTATTTATCTCGTTTTAAGAGCACCACCTCCTCCTTGGACTCAGGATACAAATGCGGTTCCATCTTATTTGTTTGCAGTAAATGCCAGATTAGCACGGAGTTCTGTTATATCCCTTTGCCGGACGGGCTCCTACTGAATCAGTCACTGGCTCTTCCACCATCCTGAAGGCCAAGGGAAGGAGGGCCGTCCAGCTGCCCTTCCCCACCGTCAACGCTCCATCCACACCTGTGATTCCTCTAGCGGCCACAGATGGTGCTGTCGCGTGGCAGACTTGAACCAAAGCGCGGCCCTACGTGCTCCCTGCACCTGCTGGTTTTCAGAGATGATGTCGCATCTTAGTCTCTCTTAGAGCTCAGTGCTTTCATTCCCACACCAAGGACTGGACGGCTCCCGGGCTGGTTCCAGCACCTGCTGCTCCACAGTTACCGGGTCCTCCCACGGGATCCACACCACCCGGAGGTCTGGCTGTTTTCCTTATAGGTCCTCGTAGCACAAAAGACGTGAACACACCCCTCCCACGGGACAACAGCGTCACTCGCCCTCCTTGTAAGGAAGCCTACCTTCAGTTATTTCAGAACGCCTACACCTGCCTTTCTTAGTTGCACTCATTTACTCTCTGAGACACAAAGATGATATGAGGACATCTCAGTGAGTCTCACAAGAAAGGGGGGAGAACAACCAAATTTCCATCTTTGAGGACATTCTAATACATTCGGAAATGCCTCTACAACTTTTCCTTCGGATAAAGGTCTTTCTAAAATGAAAACGTCCCCCAGGACCTCCTGGGCTCACAAGACAAGGTGGCCTGTCTCCTGCTGGCACGAGAGCATGTCACAGCAAGTCCATGTCCTCACTTCTGAACCCAAGGAAAACATCAGCCACAGACAGACCACCCCCTGACGCTGGTGTGCAAACAGCAGCTGCAGTTGTTTTCATTAGGAACATTACACAAGCGGGAAAAATCTGCCTTCTGCTCTACAGGGCCATCCCAGGACACTGGAAATCAAGGCAGAGCGTTTGGGGAGGGTCCTTGGGTGGGTCGCAATGGCAGGTGGGCTACCAAATGAGGTGTTACAAGCCAGAAAGTGCTGGAAAAGGGGAAAAGGAGAAAATTAGCCCAAATTGCTCACCAGCCCCTCGCCCACACAACCACAGGCTACGGTTCAGTACCTCTCTGCCTTCTAGGGGATCTCCTTGGCCTTGAACTTTCATCCTATGTGCTCCTTACCCAGCCTCCCCAATAGAAACATCTGGCCAAACCACAGTACAACATCACCACTAGGATGCGGTCACACACCGAACATTCCCATCACCACAAGGTCCCTCTTATAATCACACCCGCCCCCCAAACCCTGGCAACCACTTATCTGTTCTCCGTTTCTAGAATTTCTCATCTCAAAAATGTTACATAAATGGAATCGTACAGGACGGACCATTTTGGGATTGGCATTTTTCGTTCAGCATAATTCTCTGCAGACTCGCACAGGCTGCTGGGTGCATCGATAGTTCATCCTTTTAATCGTTGAGTGTTATGCCGCGACCTTCAGTCGTTACCCTGGACACCCGCCTGGGGGTGGAGGAGACGTGAGGCGCGGGCAGGGGCGCCCCCATCTTCACAGCACTACAATCCCTCCAGCCGCCACCGCGCGGAGCCACCGGGTCCCGCTCGTACACGAGGGCCCGGGCTGGCGCTGGGCAGAGCCCGGGGACAGGGACAGGGCAGGGGCGGGGCGCCGAGTGCGGGGAGAGATCCAGACTGGTCGGGCTTGGGGGCGGGGCGGGGAGCGGGGCCGGGCTGCGCTCGGGGGCGGGGCGTGGTCTAGGGCGAGGTGGGGCGGTGTTCGTGGGCGTGGCCAGGGCTGCGCTCGGGGCGGGGCCCCGCTGGCGGACTCCCAGCGTCAGCCCCTCAAAGCGCGTCCGCCCGCCGAAGTCTGCGAGTTCGTGGCCAGCGCGGCCAGAAAGTGTCGTGGACGTCGGACGTTCTTCCGGAGGAAGTCCGCGTCCTGCCCTCGTCCTGGGCGCGGGCGCTGGCTGCGGTGAGTGTCTGCGCCCGCCGGGGGGCGGGCTTGGGGACCCTTCCCAGGGCGAGGGTCTCTGCGGGTTCCCACTACCCGCGTGCCCGAGGCTCCTCTTCTGCAGGTAGGAGACTGGGGCACAGGGTGAGCAGGCCCTTCGCTGCCCTCAGCCGCTGCCCTCCGCCCTGGACTCGGGCTGCGGCGACCCCAGTTGCAGACGGCAAGCGGGCAGCCCGGGGTCAGCGAGTGGGCGTCGCGGTGACCCGGCCTGGTTCCGGCTCGGCCTCTGCCCCGCGTACCGTCCAGTCTGTACCAGGCCCTGGAACTCAGCTTCTTTAACTTTAGTCCCTGAGATTCTCAGCCAGAGAAATTCGAGAAGAGAAACGTGTACTCAGTGTATGCTTCCTGCACGGCTGTTTATAGTTCTAGTGGGGATGGAAAGAACCCAAGTGTAGGAAGAGAGAAACGGTCGCAGAGATTAGGACGAAGTAATGTACATCAAATTATCAGCCCATTTGATGTGATACATAGAGTTTAACAACCACATGGCTCTTTTTTCCTGTTGACCTGGTAAGTGTATTAATTTCCGAGGAAGGGGAAAGTACCCCTGCTGTGCAGGGGCAGTAGGTAGGGAAGGTCAGTGGGGGAAGTGTTGGGCTAGTAGCCGGCTTCTTGGGCCTCAGTTTCTTATTCTGTACAACTAGGAGAATTGACCAGAGTGGGAGTCAGAAACTCAGTGGCCTCCAGGGGCCTGGTGGGTGATGTAAATAGGTAAACTGGGCCCAGCGAAGCAAGAGGGGAATGCATGCCCTGCTGTAGGCATTAAAATTAAATGTTTTTTAACCAAAATGTCTTTGGGCCCTGACCTTAGGGATCTCAGGATGAGGTGTTCCCCGAGTCTGGAGTGACACTGATGACCTGTCCGAGGTGATCAGGTCCCATCACTCTCCTGCATAACATGCTCCAATGGCTTTCTGTTAGACTCAGGGTAAAGTCTTTGCCTCTGTCCTGCAGATCCACCCATCTCTTGGACCGAATCTCCCACTACCCAGCGCTCTGTTTTAACCCCAGGTGCATCCTGCAAGCTTCCTTGAACACCTGGCTTCCACTCCCACTGCCTGCCTTACCCTCGCTCTTCCCTCGCCTGAACCTGTCTGTGGCTGTGCCTCAACCTCTCCCCCTGCCCCTCAGTGTTGGTTTTCTCTTCTAGATTGTTGGAGTCACTGAGGAGAGTGATTGCGCCTGAGAGCCCAGGGCCCACCACACGCAGTCCTTCTGTGCCCAGAGTTCACTGCAGACCTTCCTCTTGGCAGCATCCAGAGAGAAAAATACCCATCTTCTAGAATATGGCAGGTGACTGTTAGCCATGGGGGAGTTAAGCTTTTTTAAATTAAAATTTTAGTTAGAAATTGAATACCTTGTTATAAAAACTCCAGACAGCGCTGAAGTGTATAAAACTTGTTTATAATGTGCACTGCTATCTGGAATTCTCTCGTTTTGTGTTTTCTTACTGTCCATTTCAGCCCCATCAAAATCTAATGCTTATCCTGTCTTTGCTTTGCCTCCAGCCTCTGGGATGACCACCAGGACATAGTAGGTGCTCAATAAATAGATATTGAGTGAATGAGCCCCAAGAGTTACGACGGTTAAAGATTCAGCACGACTCACACCCATCCCATTCTGGGACATCTTTTTTTTTCAACAAAAGATGAAAATCCTTTCATTTCAGAACATAAACGTTCACGTTATTTTACACATCGCGTCGTCCGTTAGGGTTTGTCAGCCTCGGCACTGCTGACCTTTGGGGCTAGATAGCCCTGTGTTGTGGGACCTGTCTGTACTTGTAGGATGTTTAGCAGCAGCCTTGGGCTCTGTCTCCTGTATGCCAGCCGTGCCTCCCTCTGGAAGTGACAGCCAGAAACGTCTCCAGACCTCGTGAAATATCCCCTGGGAGGCAACACTCTCCCCAGTTCGTGTGTATCCTTTTTCCTTTTAAGCCCCCAAGTAGAGTTCCTTTATAACAGATGAGTGTGAGAGGTTAAAATAAGACTGTTAATCATTAATTTCACTTGTGGGATCCAACCTTTACACTCAGCTGAATGCCCCAGAGCTGTTTGCTTACAGCTGACGTTTATCTTTTCTCCTTAAGGGGCCTGATCAGAGTAATATAAATCAAGAGTTTAAACATTTTGGTCGCAGACGTTCCCAGGGAAGATTTAAACAAATCCCCACAGCCGCCTTCGGTACCTAAGCTCACAGAATCTTCTGAACGAGGAAAGCACTGCTTCAGAGGCTGTTGCTATTAATGACACGGCCAGGCCCTGTAACACTGGTCTCCTTAGAGCCTCTTGCCCTCAGCCTCGCGCCCAAAAGCGGGACTTGATGCAGGCTCTGCCTCTCCCATGGGACTAGGGATCTGATTTTTGATGTCTTAAGTGTCAGTTTTTGATGGAGGGGAAGGAAGCAGAGCTGTGTGTCAGTGGCTGATGCCTTCCAACAAAGGGTTAGCACAAAAGATTAGTCACGGTAGTTTCTTATCATGATATTAGGCAACACGGCTAAAACTTATGGAGGATAACCAAAACAGATTGGGCTTTTAAGGAACTCAGTTGTGTTACTCTTGAGGAATTGTAACTTGACTCGTCGTATATTTGTGTGTGAGTAAACTCAAGTAATGATGAACTATGACATAATTAGATTTTTCTTAAATGCTCATTGTTTTAAACGTGTCACCCATAAAAAGCGTTGGTCTTTCTCGCTTAGCTTCAGCCATGGTGATGCACCTACATGTTTCATTGTCGTCTTAGTCCTTGTTGGATTTTGACAAAGAGGAATTATTCTTCAAGAGAAATGGTTTCTTGTCCGGATTTAGGTAAGAAAGTGCTCATCGTCTACGCGCACCAAGAGCCCAGGTCTTTCAACGGGTCCCTGAAGGACGTGGCGGTGGCGGAACTGAGCCGGCAGGGCTGCACCGTCACCGTTTCTGATCTCTATGCCATGGACTTTGAGCCTAGGGCCACAAGGAAAGATATCACTGGTGAGTCATGGAATAAATGCTCTGGTTTTTTAAACTTTCTTCTCTGTGTTTGTCTTCTTACTGAGGTATAATTGACATAACGTTGTATTCGTTTCAGGTGTATAACATAAGGATGCGATGTTGGTATACGTTGCAAAATGATGACAAGTGCAGTTAACGTTCGTCACCACACAGTTTCACTTTTCTCCCCTCTTGATGAGAACTTTCAAGATCCGCTCCTTCATATATGCAGCGTCCTAACTGTAGTCACCATGCTGTGTGTGACATCCCTGTGACTCAGTCATTTATAACTGAAAGTTTGCTTTTCTGGCCCTCTTTACCTATATTACTCACACCCTCCAGCCCCTGCCCCAGGCAGCCACCAATCTGTTTTCTGTATTCACGAGCTCAGTTATTTTTTTGTCTTGTTTTTTAAGATTCCGCACATAAGTGAGATCATACAGTATTTGTCTTTTTCTGCCTGACTTACTTCACTTAGCATGATACCCTCCAAGTCCATCCATGTTGCTGCAAACGGCAAGGTTTCTTTCTTTGTGGCTGAATGATATTCCATTGTGTTTATTATATATCACCTTTTCTTCATCCATTGATGGGCATTTAGGTTGTTTTCGTATCTTGGCTGTTGTGAATAATGCTTCAGTGAACAGGGGTGCAGATATCTTTGTGAGTTACTGTGTTCGTTTTCTTTTGGTAAATATCCAGAAGTGGGATTGCTGGATAGTGGCTCTATTTTTAATTTTGGGGAGGAAACCTCCGCACTGTCCTCCACAGTGGCTGCACTTTACATTCCCACCAGCAGTGCACGAGGATCCCCTTTTCTCTGCGTCCTCACCTGCGCTGTTGTCCCTTGTCTTTTTGACGATGGCTATTCTGACCGGTGTGAAGTGACATCTCACTGTGGTTTTGATTTGCATCCCTGATGATTAGTGATGTCGAGCATCTTTTCACGTGCTTGTTGGCCATCGGTGTGTTTTCTTTGGAAAGATGTCTGTTCAGATCCTCTGCCCATTTTTAAATCAGATTGTTTGGGGGATTTTGCCTTCTTTGTAATTTTTTTAATTAAAAAATGTTTGAAAACAAAGCTTATCATTGCACATGATGGAGAGTTCTCAAGTCAAAAAGGTCTCAGTGCAAGTCCTTTCCCCCGTCCCCAGCCACCTGGTTCCTCTGCCCCCAAGGAAACCAGTGTCACCCGTTACCTGTGCATCTTTCTGGAGTGAGTCTGCGCTATCTCTGGATGTACCTAAAGCAATTAAGGGCATAGCCTCCATTTTCCCTCCGCTTTTTAAAAAAATGGGAACATGTTACATATGTTGTTTTGCATGTTGCTTTCTTTTTTTCTGCTGCGAAGTCCCCCATTGTATGGAGGAGCCGTGGTTTAAGTAGCTGCCACTAATGGGCATTTTTGGTTGTTTCTCACTTTTGCTATGGTAACAGAGCTGCAGCACACGGTCGTGGCCATACGTGTTTTCCTGTCTGTGCAGGTATATCTGGAATGGAGTTGCTGGTCAGGGAATGTGCGTTTTGAATTTTCGTAGATGATATAACATTCCCTTCTGTGGGTGCTGTGCCACTTTACCCCCAGCAGTGTCTGCAAGTGCTTGTTTCCTCATTTAACCAATTTTTTGATAATTGCCAGTCTGACAGGTGGAAAAATGGTCCCTGAGTACGTACACAGTTTTGTATATGAATTGTAAATATATTTTTACCTATTTTTTTTTTTAGTTTTGACTTCACTATGGTGGCTTTTTTCATGCAGAATTTCATTTACTTTTGCTTAGTTGGCTTTTGACATGTGTATTTTGTGTCATGTAAACTCTAAGCTTATTTTTTAAAGGTGTTATAGTTTCTTCTGGTATTTGACAGGTTCCACTTTTTTTGTGTGTGGTACGCGGGCCTCTCACTGTTGTGGCCTCTCCCATTGCGGAGCACAGGCTCCGGACACACAGCCTCAGTGACCGTGGCTCATGGGCCCAGCCGCTCCGCGACATGCGGGACCTTCCCGGACCGGGGCACGAACCTGTGTCCCCTGCATCGGCAGGCGGACTCTCAACCACTGCGCCACCAGGGAAGCCCTCCACTTTTTAAATTTAAGTATGTTCTCTATTCAGAATTTACTTTGGTGTATGATGTGAGGTGTGGGTCGTTTTTCCCAAGTACTTACCCAGCTCTCTCATCACCATTTATTACATGATCCAGCGATTTGCCCCAATTTAAAAGGCCACTTTCATTGTGATCTGAATTCCCACATATGTTTTATTCTCTCCTAAACTTTGTATTCTGCTTTTGTTTTCCTATACATGACTCAGTACCACATGCCTTTAATAATTTTGGCAAGTAATTTTTTTAATATCTGATAGAGTTAGGTCAACCTCACTTGTCTTATTTTCTATTTTTTTCTGACTAGTTTTACTTTTCCATAAAATCTTTTGAATTAGCTTTCCAGATTGTCGACTGAAAAAAAAAAAGCACAACATGAGAGTTGTGAGTTAAGTTTTATTTGGGGCAAAATGAGGACTATAGCCCAGGAGACAGCCTCTCCGAGAGCTCTGGGGAACTGCTCCAAAGAGGTAGGGGGGGAGTCAGGATATGTGTGATTTTGGTGAAAGGGGTGTGTGCAGTTGAGCACACAGTTCGGCAGAAGGTTGCTGCTGGTCACGAGGAGCACATGTCTCCGTTAGTGATGTTAGTGCTTTTCTAGATACGAAGAGATGCAAGAATTGGGCTCATAAACTCTTATCCTGGAAAGATCTAACTCTCTGAAGACCTGTTCTGCCAGTTTTTCCGGGAGCACAGGGCGCCTCTTTCCTGATCTCCACCCTGAACCCCTTTCAGGGCGTGTTGAAGGTCAGTGGTCGCAGCAGTTTGTGACTTAATCCTTGGAGAAGCAGATGGCAAGTGCCAACCTTTGGCTGGCAAGATTCAAAAGGTAACAGATGATCTTTTTTTTAACATCTTTATTGGAGTGTAATTGCTTTACAGTGGTGTGTTAGTTTCTGCTTTATAACAAAGTGAATCAGCTATACATATGTTCCCATATCCCCTCCCTCTTGCGTCTCCCTCCCTCCCACCCTCCCTATCCCACCCCTCTAGGTGGTCACAGAGCACCCAGCTGATCTCCCTGTGCCATGTGGCTGCTTCCCACTAGCTATTTGTTTTACGTTTGGTAGTGTACATATGTCCACGTCACTCTCTCACTTTGTCACAGCTTACCCTTCCCCCTCCCCACATCCTCAAATCCACTCTCTAGTAGGTCTGTGTCTTTATTCCCATCTCACCCCTAGGTTCTTCATGACCTTTTTTTTTTTTCTTAGATTCCATATATATGTGTTAGCATACGGTATTTGTTTTTCTCTTTCTGACTTACTTCACTCTGTGTGACAGACTCTAGGTCCATCCACCTCACTACAAATAACTCAATTTCGTTTCTTTTTATGGCTGAGTAATATTCCATTGTATATATGTGCCACATCTTCTTTATCCATTCATCTGTCGATGGACACTAACAGATGATCTCTTTATTGAGGTCCCATTAAGTTTACAGATGACTCAGCCTCGTGAAGTTCTTTCTGTCCCAGTGACAGGCATGGCTCCTCGTTTGCTCATGTGCTGTTACAACCTTCCAGGTCTGTTTGTGAGTTTTCTTCATGCAGATCTCACATAATTCTTACTAACTGGGTTTTGTTCCTCTGTGTCAGGCGTCCCCAGCCTTTATGGCACCAGGGATGGGTCTCGTGGAAGACAATGTTTCCATGGACTGGGGCGAGGGATGGTTCAGGTGGTGATGTGGGCGATGGGGAGCGGCTGTAAATGCAGATGAAGCTTCTCTCCCTCGCGCGCCTCTCACCTCCTGCTGTGCAGCCCAGTTACTAACAGGCCGAGGACCGGTACCAGTTGGGAGTTGGGGAACCCTGCTCTATGTGAAGAGGACTCATCTGTGTGTGCGTGTATGTGGCTGCTACTAATTTTCTTACTGTTTGTAGTTTTCAGCTGATTCTCTGGGGCTTTCCTGATACACAGTCAGATCATCTGCAAATAATGATAATTTCACCTGTGGTTTTCCAGGAATTTTAATTTTAAATTAATTACCTTTAATTTCCTTCTGTTTGCAATTGGGTTAACAAGATCCCCAGGTTTAGTATTTAGTGCTGATGATAATAGCTGACATCCTTGTCTTTTCTTATCTTCCCTTCTTTTTTTTTTAAATTTATTTTATTGATTTATTGATTTATTTTTTTGGCTGTGTTGGGTCTTTGTTGCTGTGCACAGGCTTTCTCTAGTTGCAGCAAGCAGGGGTTACTCTTGGTTGCGGTACGTGGGCTTCTCATTGCGGTGGCTTCTCTTGTTGCAGAGTACGGGCTCTAGGCATGCAGGCTTCTGTAGTTGCAGTGCGCAGGCTCAGTAGTTGTGGCTCGCGGGCTCTAGAGCACAGGATCAGTAGTTGTGGAGCACGGGCTTAGTTGCTTCGCAGCATGTGGGATCTTCCCGGACCAGGGCTCGAACCTGTGTCCCCTGCATTGGCAGGCGGATTCTCAACCACTGTGCCACCAGGGGAGCCCTTCCCTTTTTTAAAAAAAAACAATATTTATTTATTTTGGCTGCGTGGGGTCTTAGCTGTGGTATATGGGATCTGATTCCCCGACCAGGGATCGAACCCAGGCCCCCTGTATTGGAAGCATGGAGTCTTACCCACTGGACCACCGGGGAAGTCCCTGTCTATTCCCTTTTAATAAACCAAAATTCTTTTCACTGAGCAAACAGCAAAGCAGGGACTGGGGAGATAGAGAGTATTATGTGGAGGAGCCACTGGTTTTCAGTGAATCAAATGACACAGGCTCTTTGTATAAAGTATCTTAAATGTGGTGAACAGGTGGGCAGAGGGTGAAAACAACAAGCCCCTTCACATGCTCTCCTGGTCCTGCATGGCCCCCAGGGACAAGCAGGCCGAACTTTGTGGTGTGGATCATTGTAGATCTTACTCCAAATATCAGTTCAGCAAAATGCACATTTGTGTAGAGCTTAGAAACTCAATAGATACAGATGTAAGTGGGGCTTTGCTTTATTCACTAGAGCTTTTGGGAGTCTTTTTAATGACTGCATGGCACTTCATGGTACCTGCTATAACTTACCAGTTCCCCTGTTGACTTAGGCTTACTTTGTCTCCAGCTTTCGTTTCAAGCTATGAGTCAGTATGTTTCCATGGCTCTGGATTCCCTGTCTTACTAAGAAAGTCCTCTCCATATCCTCACTTATAAAAATATTCTCATTTTCCCATGACATTTGGATACCTTTGCTTTGATATTTACTTTTATCTAGAATACACGTGGCCCATGCACATTTTATTGTCCGTTTACCATTATCAGAAGCACCGCGTGTCCTCTGTGGGCTCCACACCCGGTGGGCGGCAGCCTGCTTGAGACACAGGCTCTCCTGCTCAGGGTCTCTGGTCGGTACAGAACCTCATGCACAGAAGGGTCCCAACAGGTGCTTTGAATGAAAATGAACCCCGGGGAGGCTGAGGGAGGAAGCAGAGCCCTGGCATGTTCTCAGCTGTGGCTGCTGAAGGGCTGGCCTCTCCTTGGGCTCCTCTGCAGGCCGCATGCTGCAGGGGCCGCACCTGGGCCTCCCGTCGTCCCCTCTGCTGCCATGTGGGACCCGTGGCCTTGAGCTCGGCCCTCAGCCTTCATCTCCTCTCTGGGCGGTTGGGGATTACCCAGCCCGTCGGGTTGTTACTAACATAGAAAGGTCATGCTGCAGAGCATAGTGTGGTACGTGGGGATCCTTAACCACTGGTGACTGTTGTTAACACTGATCAGTGCGGTTGGGTGAATCATGCTGCTTGAGGAGAACCCACTGAAGGCCTAGATCAAAGTGTTAACTTGGCTTTCAGCATAGTTGTCGAGGATTAGGGTTAGGGTTTAGGGTTAGAGGGTTAGGGTTGGGGTTGGGGTTAGGGTTGGGGTCGGGGTTAGGGTCGGGTTAGGGTTAGGGGGTTAGGGTCAGGGTTAGGGTTAGAGGGTTAGGGTTGGGGGTTAGGGTTAGGGGGTCGGGGTTAGGGTCAGGGATCAGGGTTAGGGTTAGAGGGTTAGGGTTGGGGGTTAGGGTTAGGAGTTGGGGTCAGGGTCAGGGGTTAGGGTTAGGGCTTAGGGGTTAGGGTTGGGGGTTAGGGTTAGGGGTTGGGGTTGGTGTCAGGGTCAGGGGTTAGGGTTGGGGTCAGGGTCAGGAGTTAGGGTTAGAGGGTTAGGGTTGGGGGTTAGGGTTAGGAGTTGGGGTCGGGGTCAGGGTCAGGGGTTAGGATTAGGGCTTAGGGGTTAGGGTTGGGGGTTAGGGGTTGGGGTTGGTGTCAGGGTCAGGGGTTAGGGTTGGGTAAGGGTTAGGGTTGGGGTTAGGGGTTGGGGTCGGGGTCATGGTCTAGGGTCAGGGGTTAGGGTTGGGGTCGGGGGGTTGGGGTTAGGCTTAGGGGTTGGGCCGGGGTCAGGGTCAGGGGTTAGGGTAGGGGGTCAGGGTTAGGGTCAGGGGTTAGGGGTTAGGGTAGGTGCTGCAGGTTCCAGCCCGACCCCTCCCCACCCCTGCTGCTGCTGCCTGAGCCCCTCCCCTACCAGGCCTTCTCCTGAATCGCTGAGGCCACAGTGAGCTTTTCCAGAGCTGAATTGGAGCATTCACTATATACATGGGGAGCAGCCCACTGTGTGCAGAAGCTTAAGCCCCTCGGCCGGGCTCACAAGCCCTGGTCCATTCCTGCAGTCACATCACCTGCGGGCCTCCCGGCCTCTTACCGCAGGTTCTCGGCTGTGCTCCCAGTGGCCCACTCCTGGGCTGGCCAAGTTGTCCCGTCTGCGTCTTCTGCCCAGGAGGTCCCCTGCTTCTCCTGGCTGCCCCAAACTCCTACTCTGTCATCAGGACCCCGTTCACCGACTCATCCCCAGGGTGCGCTCCTGACCCGCCCCTGCAGAGCTGGCTGCAGCGCTTGTTACACGTGCAGAGTGAGGCCTGCTGCTTCTGGGCCGTGGGGTGTGAGGCCCACCTGCCGTAACGTTACACCTGGCAAGCTGAGTGGTCGTGTTCTGTGTGTTACCGTGGGGGTTGCTCATCCACGTCTCCTACCGGACTGTGAGTCCCTTAGGAGAAGGTAAGGACGTAGCTTGCTCTCTTTGCGTCCACAGTCTGACCCCAGGGCCTGGCGCGTACTCAGGTCTCCATGACTGCCCAGTGACCTGCCAGGGGTGGGGAGTGACGTCCAGGCAGCAGTGGCACTGGTGGGATTGGTGGGATGGGCCGCGGCTGCCCCCTGGGTGAGAACCCCTGTCCTGTTCTTCCAGGCGCCCTCTCCAGCCCCGAGTTCTTCAGCTATGGTGTGGAAGCGTACGAGGCCTGCAAGAAGAGGTCTCTGAGCAGCGACATCATCGCGGAGCAGCAGAAGGTCCAGGAGGCCGACCTAGTGATGTTCCAGGTTTGGTTCCCTCAGATTATGGTAACAAATTGGGTTTGTCCTGTGTGCAGTGTCTTTTCCGATACTGAGTTCACGCTCCTGGCGGTGGTGCTGCAATCTGCATGCTTACTTCTGTCTCGTTGGGTCCAGAGACCCAGGGAGCCCATACCCACCGTTCAGATCCTGACCCCCAAGTAAACAGCAGGGATTTCCCTTTAGCCTGTGGTCCCGAAACGTCTGACCCTGCAGAAGGTGCTGCCTTCGTTCTCTGATCCCCAGCCCGGGAGGTGCGGGGCTGCATGGAAACCAGATTTGTCTGCGTGGGTGTTTGTCAGAGTAATTTAGGCCAGATGCAACTGCTGCCTTAAGTATCCTTGTCGTCAAGCCCCATGGGTGGCCTCACCCCTCTACCCTCACCTGGTGTGCACTCACCTTTGTTCCAGGCAGGCTTCACTGCATGAGAGCTGCCCAGGACGCTACGTCCACGGCCAGCCAGGTGGGCATCATGGCAGCAGAGTAAATGTGCCTTTGGGGAGTCGTTGGGTGGATAAAAATCCAAGTCAGGCCAGGAGAGAAGGGGATTTATTGTGAGGGCCTTGATCGCTTGGGTCCCAGGAACCCGAGGACAGGCCGTGGCGGGCTTCAGGGCAGTGGCACGGGGTGTGGGGTGTCTGCTCCCTTCCCCATGGCAGCTGCTCCTCTCCGATCTGGCCGCTCTGCCTCTGCCCCACGTCACTAGATCCAGCCACCCAGGAAGGGATCTCCTGGGTCCACATCATCTCTGTTTTCCAACCTGCTGAGGGGCGGGGCGTGGGCGGGAGAACAGGACCACCCTTGCGGTGGGCGCAGAGCCAGTTCCCAGACACAGCGCTGAAACGCCCCGTAGACTACACCTGTGCACGCAGAGGCGGCAGCCCCGCGCCTGCCCACCCTGTGCCTGCCCGTCCGGGTTCCCCACGACCTTGACTCCGGGTGTGATCCAAGTGCAGCCGTCCTTCCATCCTCCTCACACCTGAGTGCCCGCGGCTCACCACCGGCACACTGGTAGTCACGCAGGACCGTGCAGCCATGTGACGATGGCCCAGCAGTCCGGCCCCTGGTCCGAGCAGAACCCCACGCAGCTCTGTCTCCCCTCCACTGCGGGCTCCCGGCTGAGCACACGGAGCCTGAGGCTCCCCGCTCCCCCTCCCCGTCTCCTGTAACTGGAAGGTGAACACCAGCCAAGGCCTGTTCCTTCTTTGAGAGTCTTTCTTTATTCTTGCCTCTTTTCACCTGTCTTTTCCCCACCCCCACCCCTTTTTCCCCGTACTCTGCCCAGAGCCTCTGCATGTATGTTTATTTTTTTTTGCTCAACACTAATAAAAATGTCATTCACCAGGACCACTGCTACTATGACCATAGCTCACCACTCACTGAGCATTTACCCTGTTCTGGGCACTGTGATGTGTCATTGAACCCTCACCACAGTGCTGTGAGTGATTTGCAAATCAGGCTAAGGAGGCCCAGAGAGGTTAACTAATGTGCCAACGTCACACAGCAGTAGGTTGTGGAGCTGAGATTTCAGTGCCAAGTCCTGAGTTAGATTTATAGTGAAAGCACGTGAAACACGGGCTTCCTTCTAGCTTTGGTAACAGGTTATTGCATGTGTTCAGCTCTTTTCATTGATGATATTGTTGGATATGGTGTTAGGGCTTCTGTGGGGACTGGAGTGGACTCCAGGGAGACCGTGCTGCTGGTGTGTGGAATCTGAGGATCAGACTTCTCAGAATATACCCCAGCCCGACTCCCAGATGCCGTGTCTCCCCCCCAGATGGGGAAACAGGCAAACTCTTTCCCACACCCTCTCTCTGGCTCCGTGGCGGGGGTCAGCACCTCCCGGCCCACTCAGTCAGGGGCAAGCAGTCGGAGACCATCACGGGGGACGCAGAGCCACCTGTGACAGCAACCAGGACGCTGTCGGCTCTGCCCGCCCCGCCGGCCGCCACCGCCACACCGCGCGCCTCAGAGAAGGGGGAGAAGCCTCCCCATCACGTTGGTGACACCTGCCTGCCCGGGCCTGGGGAGGAGGCTCCCCTGAACCCCCAGGCAGAGGAACGCGGAAGTGACCCCAGCGCTCCCTGCCTGTTCCACCTGCAGTTCCCACTGTACTGGTTCAGCGTGCCGGCTGTCCTGAAGGGCTGGATGGACAGGGTGCTGTGCCAGGGCTTTGCCTTTGACATCCCAGGATTCTACGACGACGGCCTCCTCAAGGTACAGCCGGATGAGGGGCGGCATCCATCGGGGATGGAGGGGGCATCTCAGCAAGTCACTCCTAGTTTGCATTTTTTAACCAAACACTGAGCGCCAACCATGTGTAAGGCCCCGTGTGGTTACATGGGCGAGAAAGTGTCCCTCCCGAGGTCATGGGCTTTTCTTCCAGTAAGGGACACGGAGCGTCCACGTCTGTCTGCGTGCTCAGCGGGGGAGGCTTGGGCTGGCCTGGGGACGGCTGCCAAGGGGCACCTGCTCCACGATGCGGGCTCGTCACTGGCCACGCACCCGTTCACCTCTGAGCGTCACGTAACCACCTTGAAAACAGGATAACGCCTTGCCCCCAGGGAAGAGGTTGCAGGGAACCTGGCAGATGCACAGGACATGGTAGCTATGGATTTCCTACTAAAACAAATGACATTTTAAATTCTGAAATCCTCAGAAAATAAGTGCATATAAAGAAAACACTGAGTCATGAGATCCGTCTTGGACCGTGAAAAGATGCCACCCTTCGCTGAGTGGCCCCAGGAGCTGGGCAATGCGGGCGGTACCATTTGCCCTCCTAGCCGCTCCGAGGTCTGGCCTCCGTCTCATCCACTCCTCCCCTGCGTCCCTGAAGCCTGCTCTCCACCAACCCTGGGGCCTGTCAGCTCTGTGAGCGCCCCATCCGTTCCTCTGGTTGTCCCCTGCTCTCTCCATTCGATGTAGCTGTCACCTGCAGCTGGGCTGGACGGAGATGGGAATGTGTGTCTTTCCATCAGGGAAGGGCGAAGGGGAGCTGGCCTCGGGTTTTCCCTCCGGGTCATTATAAACCTCTGGGCTGGAGTCACAGTGGCCTTTACTACCCTGTCCTCTGGGGTCCCACCAGTGCGTGTGCTGTGTCCTCCGCAGGGTAAACTGGCCATCCTGTCCTTAACCACGGGCGGCACGGCTGACATGTACTGGAAAACTGGAGCCAGCGGAGACTTCCGATACTTCCTGTGGCCCCTCCAGGTAGGCCACACCCTTCCCTGACCTGCAGCTCCGCTGGTACAAATGAGGTGTGACATAGGCCTGAAGGCCAGACCGTTCTGACTGCCCTGGGTACAGGAAGTGACCACCTCTGCCCTCTTTGATGATTTACTTGGCAGCCCTGGAAAGGCTGGCCAATGAGGAAAACGCATGTTATGAGGATATAGCTTCTGCCGTCGTTTGGGCAGAGGCCAGGCCAAACCTAGCTGGCTGATGTGCTCTGGGGTACACAGGAGCCCCACGGTGGCCCGTGTGTCACGATTCGGGAGGGCAGAGCCATCCACACTCTGGCTCTGCTTCCTGAGGCAGCATCGCCTGGAACCCTGGCAAAAGGCTCCCCGGCCCGCATCCGGCACCCTTGTGAGTGGGCACGTTTCCATGGAGCCAGTGGCTGAGCGCCTCCCCAGAGCCCACCCCACCTTCAGGAGCCTGGGACTCAGCTCCGGGCTGCGGTCCCAGTTGGACGCCGGGCTGCCTCTGCACCCTGGGCCCGGGGTCGGTGAGGACGGCGGTCAGCGGAAGTGCCCTGGTGAGGGGCAGAGCCAAGGAAGGGAGCTGGGGGCCCTGGGTTAGCCCCCCTGTCCCGTAGGGAACTCCTGGGAGACCCAGCGACCTGCATGGACGCTGCCCATCTAGGTTGTTAGGGGTGTGTGTTGAGCTCAGAAGAGATCACGTAGTTAAGGGTTTGTGAGCTTTAAAAATGCAGGCGGTGGTGTGGGTCCCGGCCTCCCACCCACCTGATGGGGCAGGCCTGGACAGGGTGTGGGTTTAGGGAAGGAGTGCAGACGGAGGACAGTGATAGTTCTAGAAAAACGATGTCTGAAAGGAGGCGGGTAGTCATTCCATGTAGCGATGCTCAGCTGCAGAAGCCCGAACTTCCTTGGCAGAGGCCGGGGGGCCTCTTAGGCGCCACTAGCCAGAGGCCTAAATGCTTGCTTTTAAAAAACCTTCACCTTTTTTTCAGTTTGCAGAAGCACATATCATAGAAAAAAATGAGATTATAAAATATAAAAATAGTTCCCTTAATTCCTCCCTTAAAAATAATGTTTCAGTGGTTTGATGTATTTCTTTACAGCCCATATATATTTTTAAATATATACTTTTAACGATTAGGCTTGTCATGTGTATCTTTTTACACAAACGGTGTGCCACAAATACTGCTTCACGTTTCTTCTTGCTGTTTACATTTAATGCATATCTTGAACAGCCTCCCATGGTGGCACATCGTAGCTAAAATAACCTCATTCTAGAATATTCCATCGCATGACTTGCCATCATTTGCCTAACCAGCCAAAACCTAAACTTCAGGGTCTGACTCAGCAGCAGAGATTAAAGGTTAATGTCAGTCATCAGAGCAGAATTTGGAACTTGCCGCTGCCCAGCACTCTTCACCTCCCTGGTAGCGGCCGTGTCCTGAGGTTCTGGGGCAGTTCCGTTGTTTTCGATTAACTGGTAGCATGAAAGGTGTTCTGTCCCCTTTGGTGACTGAACGGATGGCGTGTGCAGGGTGGCTTCTCATCGCTCTCCTTTCTTTGCGGCTGTAGCACGGCACGCTGCACTTCTGTGGATTTAAAGTCCTTGCCCCTCATATCAGTTTTGCTCCTGAATTTGCATCAGAAGAAGAAAGAAGGGGGATGGTGGCCTCCTGGGCGCAGAGGCTGAAGACCATCTGGAACGAGGAGCCCATCCCCTGCTCGCCCCCCTGGTACTTCGGGCACTGACCTTGGGGCCACGCTGGGAGGTGCTGGTGTGTGTAATAAACGACAGCACGACAGAGCAGCAGGTGTGTGGGGTGATGTGACTGTGTCTCCAGGGTCCTGTAGGCCGACTCGCGGCTCCCGTCACCCGCTGGTTGTCCCGGATTCTCTCCTGACAGATGTCCGCATTCTCCCAGGCTTTCTTTTCATTTCTAATATTTTTCCATCTCCCTGTCTTCAGCCTTTGCGGGTAGTGGTGTTTTTCTGTAGTTCTGGCTTGGAACTGGATTTGTTAGGTTTTGTTTTGTTTTATTCCATAACTCAACTTGAATTTCTGTTTGCATAGAAAAGTGAAGTCTGTTCACAGCTCGTGTTTGAGTGCTCTGTTTAGACTTACTTCTTCCATCTTTTTTTTTTCTTTTTTTTACTTGCATCATGACTGTGAAGTTTTAATTGATCAGCCACTTAACATATTTTTACAATCCCTGCGTGCCCGTGACAATGAGGTTTCCAAGCAGTAGTGAGAAGGCATCCTGTCAGTGTGTGCGAGCTTGGGGAACACGACCGACAGTAACCTCAAGGTGTGGGCACGTGTAGGTGGAGTGTCTCCCCAAAGCGGGTTTGAGGAATTAGATCCCTTCCCCCCACCCCCTCCCCCCATCGTCACGGTCATCGTCACTGCCCAGGACAGAGCAGCTGCCTGGGGTCAGGGCCCTTCTGCTCAGTATCCCAAACCCGCCCCCATCAGACTCTCCCAGCTTCCCGCTGGATCCCCCGTCCACACCTTTCACCTTCCTCTCCCCCCCCCCCCCCCCCCCCCCCCCCCCCCCCCCCCCCC